TTACTCTATGGCTCTCGAAAAACTGCTACAGTGAAATAGAGGATTAAGTCCTAAAAGCTACCTTAGGAGAACAGCAACGGGAAGGGACACTCTTTTCTCCACGGGCAGAGATACAATCTTGATTTTTTCAGCTTGCATTCCTTAACATATGTAATTGACTTCTATAAAATTTTTAAAATTTTTATTTTAAGTAAACCAAATTTATAGTTTCAAGAATTTCAATAATTTTATGCACGAAATATATCTAATTTTTCAAAATATTTCAAATATTTTTTGCATCAAAGGCGATTTTCACTGGTAAAGAATACCAATGCATAATGCTTCTTGAAGAACCTCTGTGTAATGCAATTTGTTTAAGGATCTAGAGTTTCATATTCAATGAATGTAGATCAGCCAAAGAAATTAAGATTTGCAAATCAAAGATCACTAAATATGTCAAGACTTTCTTTCTTTAAATAAACTAAAAAACATGATAATTTTAAATCTCACGATACGTTTTCTCTCAAAATTAGTTAATTGACTTTGTAAGAATCGAACGAATCATACATCTAGCGGGCATGAATAAGATTGAAAATTGGAATTTGAAAACTTAATAGAAGTTAAAATAAAAATATGCTTTAGGTTTCTATCTAAAAATTTTTGTAATGAAGGCTTGTATCTGCGTCTTTGTCCCCCTTTCCTCTATCATCATCAAAACATATCCCAGTGACACTTCTCTACTAGCAATGCACTTGTAATATCGAACTCCGCATAAAATAGAAAGATTATGAGTTTGTCATCTTTGATGAACTAGTAGGTATTATTGAACCCGTCATGCTCAATCAGACAGTCAAATTGTCATGATCTCCCTAACAAAAGGTATCAGGCATCGATGAGCACCACGTCACACCAATCTGATCCTATAACAAATTCTCAATCGAAAACTCCACGAAACACCTCCTGTCAATATGGCAGTCAAAAAAGCTCGTTGTTCGCGAAGAGCTCGTCGAGCTGTTCAGCTCGTTAAGTAGCTCGCGTTCAATTCGTTCGTTAAGTAAACGAGTCAAACACAACAAGGTTTTAAAGCTCGAATTATAAACGAGTCAAACACGAACAGCTCTTTGTTAGCTCGTGTTCGGCTCGTTTTAGCTCGAAATAAAAAAAATTATATAATTATTTATATATTAATATATTACATATATTATTTATATAATAATATATTATATTATATTTATATCTAAGTTTAAATCGTAACAGCTCATGTGGTGATGTGGTTATGTGTTTTCTTTTGCATACAATTGGTCCAGGTTCGAATCCAACATTCTTTTTAATTTAATTTTAACAATCCAATTTCAAGCCGAACACGAACACGAATATTTAAATTGAGCCGAACACGAACACACTGTTCATGAGCCAACGAGCAATTTCGAACGATCCGAACACGAGTCAAGTCTGAACTCACTCAAGCTCGGCTCGTTTACAGCCCTGCCTGTCAATGTTGACTCTGTTCTTCTTCCTCAACCACTTCTAGGAGTATGGTTGGGAGTGTCTATAAGTCGTGAGGCTCAACTTGTCCACCATATGTGTAGATGTCACATTCTTGTTGCTCCCTCTATCGATATTATGAAATTGCATACATTTCCTTTCACACTGCAAGGGGGTAGAATACGTTGTGGCAAAGCCACTACTGATCCCTGATAGCCTCAATCTATAGGACTTGTCGAGCCATAACTATTTTGCCCTCATATGTGGAAGATGGTACTCCTCACCCTTTTCTCTAACTGTCTCTTCGTCACTAACTTCCTCTTCTATACCCTACTCGATAAAAAAATAGCTCGGCTAATCAAGCAATTGTAGGCAATGTGCCCAGATCCATGGCATTTGAAGCATTTCTTAAATGGGATTGTAGCGTGCATGCTACTCTTCTCAGGCTTCTGCTCACTTTTAACGGTTGTGCTCTTCTCCTTATCAATCTTCTCAACTCCTTGAGGGGTGTTCCTACTGATGTCTCCAACTGTAGTTGGTTGTCTGAATGGCGGTGGGTGTTTACTCTGCTTCTGATGTCCCTCCATCTTAAGTGTCAAGGTCTAAATGTCACCCAAATACCCGTAAAGTTGTAACTCGACCATGTTACCGATGGCAGGCTTCAAACCTATCAAGTATTTTGGTTATTGTGTGTTCCTCTGGGTCCATCAGATCACATTTCAACTTAAGCTATGTTGTGTACTCCTCCACTGATAAGTTTATCCGCTATAGGTAGTGGAGTCTCAAGAGAAGATCCTGATGGTAGTGTGGGGGTAAGGATTGTCGTTGCAAATCATCTTCTCCCATGTAGTAATTCTGCTATGTCCTTCTCTATTTCGCTCCCTCTTCAAGTTCTCGCACCACAACGAGACTATCTTCTTCAACTTGAAAGTAGCTAGTTTCACCTTTCGGACATCTAACATCTCCTTATATTCAAAGATCACCTCGACAGTCTATAGCCACTCTATGAAATTATCTAGATTCATTCTCCCCTCGAAATCCAGTTAGTCCACTTTCACTCTGGAGCCTTTGTATCCTCCAACAAGCACTTCATCTTCGTATTCTCCAAAGGGTACTTCATCTTTCTTTCCTTTAACAGACACTTCATTTCTATATCCTCCAAGAGGCATTGTATCCTCTAACAGACATTTCATTATTTGACATCCCTGATACTGTATCCTAAATCGTTGTAGTCTATTTTCTGCTCCACTTGAATCATCGCTATGGAAGGGATTCAAGTATTCCTCCCTCTCTCCTCATTGGATCTCGCAACCATACTCAATGGTGACCTCCCTAAGTCTTTTCCTCACTACCAATAACTCGTTATAGCACTTGGCAGAGCTCCTGCTGTATTTCTTCTATAGTAAACTCCTGATCAAGTTCCAAGAAATGCATCCTCTGCAACATGATTAGGTTTTGGGTGCAAGTAGGTGGAATGAGGTGGTAGGGGTGATGTAGGGTAGGAAAGAAAAATTTTAGGTGAAGATAGGGTGGGGTATTGGTGAATGTTAGAAACCCTAGAATATAACTAAAGTTAGGGTAGCTCCGATACCAAATGATACACGAATTAACTAAATAATAATAAAAAAATCAATTTTTATTGTGAAAAATTAAATAAGAAATTACAACCAACATACATTTAATCTAAAATTGCAATACCTTACAACATAAACTCTGGCTAAGGGGTAGGTCCAGGGGTGGTGGAGATGGTTGGCCTCGGAAGTCGGCGCAAGAGTGGAAAAGCTAGTTGGCAAGCAGAAAACAACAAGGTTGTTGTTTCCCCAATGTCGGACAACAAGGAAATAGCAGGGAGCGATGTCGAGGGATTATTCAAAGTGACGGCAACAAGGATGGAAGACTGAAATGGTGGCGGCGACAAAGAAAAGGGGTTGGAACAATGGCGGCAACAAACAATGAAGAGGAAGGGCTAGATAGGATATCTGCAGGAGAAACAACAAACAACTATTGTTCTAGACGACAACAATGAGGGGGGAAATGCGTGGCAGCGAAGCAAAAAAGATGTGAAAGAGTCGCGCAACGAAGCAGGAGAGATGTGGAAGAGTTAAGGAAGAATAGATATCACATCGGAAGTGAGATACAATTGGGGCACCACTCGACCCTTGGAGGAGAATCACCACCTCGGAATGAGATATAGCTAGACCGCCTCGCACCCTTGGATACAGCCCTAGAAAGAAAAACTTAGAGACCCCGATAGTTGTCTGGATAAAAAACTCATAAAAACTCAAAACCTAAAACACATGAATCACATATATAAGCCCTATATAAGTAGGATTGAATCCCCCTATGAAACGCCTAACCAATGTGAAAGAACTAGTACGGTCCAAACGAAGGAATACGCCCGTGTCACTGACACTGAATGCAAAGCTTCGAGTGAAGAAGATAAATGAAGAATGGATGACAATGCTTTTGAAAATGGGTAACAGCGTAGGAATATGCTATAGAGCCAACAACAAGTGTCCAACAAAGCCATAGAGATTGTGTAGGTGGGGAAGTCAATTGAGGAGCATGCAACGATGTAGACCTTCAATGTCATTAGAGATCTTAATTAAAGCCAAAGCACGTGCATCCTGCTTGAATTTGAAACATGGGATAAGTTATTATGGCATCATGTCATCATATTCAAAGAAAGTGTAAGCAATAATTAAGCAACTTGAGGTAAAGCGTAGCAATAGTGATGGCTCAAAAAAGAATCAAATTTATTGAATGTATGGTAACCAAATGAGAGTACACAAAAGGTATTCTAGACCACTAAACACTCCTCACCAGGGTCTGACACCAAAGGTCGCCGTGGTGCAAGTAATTTCACCACCTACCTCCTCTCTCACACACACCATCACTCTCTTGGGGATTGATCGCTATGCTATTTTGTGATCCAAGTCAATTCAAGACCATTTGAGGCATTTTAACCTCTCTCAAGCTCCAGCTGGACTAGTTCAAAAATGCATCAATTCAGTTCGACTTTTCAAAGTATATATGATTCAGCCATGTTCAAGCATCCTATTCATTCAAATCTAACCTAATTCCTCTCTAGTACAGAATTCACAGTTGCCTCAAGCTCTGTTCTCTGCATAAAATGTTGCGCATTTGCGCTTGATCAAGAAGGATTTTAACCAACCAAAAAAAAAAAAAATTATAACAAATTAACATTCGTCAACTTTTTTAACAATTGAATATTATGCCAGCATCAAAATATAGTTTTCAAGAGTCGAAAGATTTCCGATTATTCATTCTACCATCAACAAAAAACGATGTTGTCTTATACCAAGCGTTCTCTCAGTCCTCCGCTTCACCTAAACAGATCAGTTACAGTAATTCTATACTACTCACAAGCAGGAAAATCCTCTGTCCCCAATTCAAATCAGCACAAAATAAAAAAACTCCAACAACCGCCGTAAGAGGCATACCAACAAACACATGGTGCGCATCACAACCAAAAGAAACAGATAGCTAGAAATAATGATAAAAAAAGCGCGTACTCCTTCTCCTCCCGAGCCAAAACGAGCGGATCGTCATTCTTGATGTCGTAAGGGTACCACTGAACGATCTTATCACCGATTAGCTTCTTACGTAGAATCTTGTGCGGCGCTCGCCTTCCCGTCGGGTTCAGCACGTGCCCGAATATCCTCGCACGTGCCTCCGTAACGCCCTGCAGAGCCGCCGAACAGAGAAGGCTCTTCAGGCTCATCGTTGCTCCGGCGCCACCACTCAGCTGCCGCCTCCGCCTCCTTCTCTTCTTTCGTTGAAAGAGTCAGTACAAGCCCAATTGAAGGTCCATAAGGCTACAATTATAGGCTGTTGGCCCAATTACATTATTAGGTCCACCTACATGAAAACCCATTTGTGGAGGTTAGTGCATGTTGATTTCAAAGTGCACAAATTATTTTAGTTTATTCGAATCACTAAAATATAATTTCGATTGAATCAAACTATAAGTCAAATTAAATATATTAAAAATATATAGTTTTTGCTTGCTATGTAATGTAATAGGCATGGAGGAATCATGTAATAGTTATTTAATAAAAATTAAATTGTATTAAATCGGAATTCTTTGAACACAAGTCTAAACTCCATTAAAATTATTTTGAATTTTGACTCAACTTCTCAAGCTAGAATCACACTTTTTTATTTTAAGACTAGCCGAGCTACATTGAGCAAGGCTTAAGGTTGCTTTTGTGTTCATTCTATTAATAAAAACAAACAAAGTAATATTATAATTATTTAGTTTAAAATAAAAATATTATTGAAACTTCATCAATTAATTTTCATCATCCGGCATGTATCTTGAGACATGACATTAATCTTGAGGCACGCCACGAATCTCAAGATAAATTTTTAAGGAAAGGAGAATTCAAACTTCAATAAAAAATTTTTTATTTTTAATAAACTTACACTCAAGCTAACATGTTCGACTAGATGGACTCAATGACACTAAAATTAGTTCAATCCAAGTCAAATCAAGCTCAAATCAAGCCAATAATTCACTTTTAGAAACTTTCAGTGTCTAATGGGAAAATCAAATGAATTTCAAATCTAACAAGTTTATCGTCAAATCAAACGTTTCAACAAGACGAATCCATCAAGCTCAAGTTCACTCTGTTCTAACATCATTAAGGCACTTAAATGTCCTCAAAACACCGTCTGATCGAAGGAACCTCTCCGAGTTGTAAGATGGTCCAATTTTTTTTCTTTTTTTGCAGGGCGTCCTCTTCTAAACTCTATAAATAGAGCCCTACCGCTCTTTTGAGTGGAGACCGAGAGTTGATCTCGAAGAAGGAAGTTGAAGCACAATGTCATTTCTGCACTAAATATCAAGCAAACACATCTCAATCTTGCATCCACCAATCACCGCTCGTCATTACCATTAACCATTGTCTGCTAAACTCAACGCATTGCAATGAAACCTCTTGTTGAATCACGACGTATGTGTCAAATCCCGACATACATTGTGGAGTAATGAGGTATCTTGCAAAAAAATGCATGTCAAAGACGATGCAGTGATGCACTTTGAAGATTGTGCAATGAAGCACCCCAAAGATGGTGCAACAATGTATCAAAATGATAGAATCACAACACACTCCAATGACGATGCAACAATGTACACCGAGGATGGTGTAACTACACCCTAAATTTAGTAAAACTCCCTATAATAAGTACTTACAATCAGCGTACTCAAAATACAATGACATTCTCCCGACTCCTAAAACTTTCTCCTTACAGCTCACCACAACGATCTATATGACCAACTATGACCTATGTGGTACACAGCTCATGTAGCTCCACACTCCAGCCTCTGAGGTCTACGGATGTTATCACAACTAATGCAACTCCCAATTCGATCTCTGCCACTAAGGACATTATCACTATTTTTGTAGCTCCCTACTCCAACCACTGAGTCATGTAGATGTTATCACAACTCATCTACCTCCTAAGTCCATACTTTGTGCCCTACAAACATTGTCGAAGCTCACCAATATGACCAATGTGACAAACTACGGTCTATGTGGTCCATAATTCATGCATATCCTACCTTTAGCATCTACGGCTTACGGATGTTATCACAGCTCCCAACTCCAACCTTTGTGTCCTACAAACGTTGTTAAAGCCCACTATTATGACCTATATGACAAACTATGGTTTACGTGGTTCATAAATGCAGCTCTCAATTCCAACATTTGTGACCAACATGCGGTTTACGTGGTTCATAACTTATGCAGCTCTCAATTCCAACATTTGTGACCAACATGTGTTATTGTAGCACACCATTACGACATATATGACAAATTATAGCCTCAATGGCACATTGCTCCGGCAACTCCTTACTACGACCTATGTGGCTGATCAATGCTTCATGAAGCAACCATTTGCATCCCATATGACAAACAACTTCCGATGACTTTCAACTATAGTCTCGGCGGCCCGTTATAGCTCTTATTGTTGAAATATTGTTGTACATTAACTTTGTTAAACCCTACTCAAGAAATGAATGAGCCGATGTACTTACAATTATATAGTTGATTATTTCAACTCAACTGGATCCTGTGATTTTTTTCTCTTTTCGAAGGTTTCCCACATAAAAAATTGAGGCGACTTCTCCTGCTTACATCACATTTATTATTTGAGTGTGTTGAATTCTCATACAACGCTAAGACGCTAAATAATCATTCTACATCTGCTAATCTTCTACACGCATCAATTATTATTTTCTAATGATTAGATTCTTAATTATAAATTATACATTAAACTCTATATAATTCTTTCAAATCTAACATATGAATCAAGTTTATTCAAAGTAAACAGTAAATTTTATGATAGCTTAGTTTAATGTGAACAAATAATGCATGGAATTTATTTTTTAGGAGCCAAACTCTTGTTTTTTTATGCAAGTTAAGAAATCATACAGCCTAATAATTTATTCAATAAAATTATAGAGCATGGTATAATAGCTTTGATCATTTATTAATTACAAATTTACATGTGAGTGCTTGAAGACTTAGAAAATGACCTTAATTTTAAACTACCAAAGTATTGAACTTTTTTATACACATACACTCAATTCTTGTATATTTACATATCTACCCTATAACACATCATTTTTTTCATATATGCCACCTTATTTCTACTTAAAAAGATGTATTGACTTTTTAAAAATTAAAATAACAATATTATTTCATATGATATAAGAGATTCGAATAATATAAATACAAAAAAGTAAAGTCTAGATTTTAGATATATAAATGCACATGAATTTGGTGGTATGTACCCTATTATAAAACATTGCTAGTGTCACTAACATTTATACTAAATTATGTGTAATGGATCCTACCTAGAAATGACCTTGAGTTGATAGCATCACAATACTACTATTGGTTCAATGTGTAAATGATCTAAAAGATGAGTTTTAACTTGAAAAAATGTTACACAAGAAAATACTTTGATTCATAAGGTATAGTGAATTTAAAGGCTAGAGAAGACTTACGATCTATTTGAAGCGTTGGTGAGGTGTTGGTGTGGTACTGTACCACAGGTTTGTCTGTTTTGGGTAAACTGTGTTTCGACGGCTTTTCAAAAAGTTGTCGCTGGCATCTATGTTTTCCCACCGGTTCTAGCTAAGTGTGGTGGCAGCTTTCTAGCTGCAGTCTGAATTTTTCAAAAAAAAAATGTAATAGCGACTGCAACTTTTTGAACATCAGTTTATTTGTCAACAGTTTCACAACTATTTTTTAATAAGTTACATTTGCCCGAAACAAACCTTTAAAATAACTAAGTATAATCTCTTTAAAATATAATGCATTGAGATATGGCTATTTTACCCTTTCTTCTATTAAGGTCCAAGTCATGTCTACTTTGACATTCGTGTTGAGTCATCATTAACCCTATAAATAGAAGCTCTAGAATTAAATAATTTTTTTCATACAATAAAATAATTATATTAATAATATAAATTTTACATAACAAGAGCAAAAATGACGAGCAAAAGAGAACCAACAAATTCCTATCTAATCAAAATTAGGTTCCAAGTTTGATACATTATAAAATAAAAGACAATTTTATTCCTTAGACCTCAACATTTAAAAATATTATTTTTCAGAGACACTACATGAATTTAGCTAATGAGACAAATTTGATGCGAAAAGAAAAAAACTCCGACCCTAAACAACCTTAGCATTGGAACTTTGGTCCACACAAAAATCGGGGCCGGTATTTCAGCTAACATCAAAATAGTTCGACGCTAGTTGTTTGTGTCGGTCTTAGCGTTCAAACATGTCGACGTTAATCGGATTCGACGCATTTGATTCATACGCAAATGTCAAATAGAAACTTTGCACCCCCTTTAAGCAGACACAAATTTACATAGTGGTTTGTGTTGAATAAATCCATCGAAGATCATTTAACATCGGAATTCATCCAATTGCGACAAAAACTTTCGAATATATTACCGCCGGAATTATCTAATATAGATTGTATGTGACAATCTGCAGTCAACGCTGAAATTGTGTGTTAAAATTATTTGACGTACCAACCGTTTCTTACTTTTAACGACGTTAAACACTGACATTGCGTGTCAAAATTATTTGACGCACTAACCGTCCCTTACTCTTAACGACATTAAACGAATGCAAACCCGACATAAAATTATCGTAAAAAAATGTCTGACATAAAATCAAATGCTAACTAGCTATTTTACTATAGTGACATACATATCCATAATCTTCTAATCATCTTTATCATTTGATTTCTTATGTTCCCTCCCTTTTTCACTAATGTCATCAGTTCACATTTCAATTGACACAATAAGGTTGAATTTTGTGACCTTTTCCTTTTAAAATGAAAGTTGTTCCCAAAGTAAATAAAGAAAAAAATAGACAGCTCATAAAATCTTCATTTATCTCTTTTCAGTTTTTACAATCAATATGGCTTTCAAAAAGCAAACGGCTCCATATATTTATATACAAAAACTCATCATGATGAAGAGATCATTGAACTGAATTCATGAATGTTCACACATCAACATCCAATTATTGTTATCATTATATCTTATGCTTGTTGTTTAATAAAATTTACATGCATGAGGCCTAATTCTTATGCATTGACATATCCCACCTCTAAACTTTGATATTTACATTTATAGAACATTGGTTCTAAAAAACTATTCATGAAAAGGTGGATTTCACTTTTAAGAAATTAGTGACAGCGATTATTCTGATGTGTTATCAATGATTTGAGCGTAATATAAGTGAATATGAAAGTATAGATGTTGGATGTGTAAATATGTTGGAATTGTGTGGTATATAT